CTTGTTATGTCATGTGCACCAGTCTTGTTATGTCATGTGCACCAGTCTGTGACTGTCTTGTTATGTCATGTGCACCAGTCTTGTTATGTCATCACGTCGGACTGTCTTGTTATGTCATGTGCACCAGTCTTGTTATGTCATGTGCACCAGTCTTGTTATGTCATGTGCACCAGTCTTGTTATGTCATGTGCACCAGTCTTGTTATGTCATGTGCACCAGTCTTGTTATGTCATGTGCACCAGTCTTGTTAGTCTGTGCACGTCTTGTTATGTCATGTGCACCAGTCTTGTTATGTCATGTGCACCAGTCTTGTTATGTCATGTGCACCAGTCTGTGACTGTCTTGTTATGTCATGTGCACCAGTCTTGTTATGTCATGTGCACCAGTCTTGTTATGTCATGTGCACCAGTCTTGTTATGTCATGTGCACCAGTCTTGTTATGTCATGTGCACCAGTCTTGTTATGTCATGTGCACCAGTCTTGTTATGTCATGTGCACCAGTCTTGTTATGTCATGTGCACCAGTCTTGTTATGTCATGTGCACCAGTCTTGTTATGTCATGTGCACCAGTCTTGTTATGTCATGTGCACCAGTCTTGTTATGTCATGTGCACCAGTCTTGTTATGTCATGTGCACCAGTCTTGTTATGTCATGTGCACCAGTCTTGTTATGTCATGTGCACCAGTCTTGTTATGTCATACCTAGGTATACAGGCATGAACCTTCATGACCCTTCTTACCATGCACAGTGTAATAGATGTTATTTTTTGCCTTTGTCTGTCTGTATGTCTCTCTCTCTCTCTCTCTCTCTCTCTCTCTCTCTCTCTCTCTCTCTCTCTCTCTCTCTCTCTCTCCTCTCTCTCTCTCTCTCTCTCTCTCTCTCTCTCTCCACTGAAATTTCTCTCCCTTATTGTAGTTCTTGTTTCTGCCTTCACCCCCCCCCTCCCCAAAAAAAAATCTTAAAAATTAAATTCTCTGTTTAAACTTTCTTCCTTTACATGTACAACTCTAGTGTGAGGACACATGTATGTTACCTTCCCTGTATTTCTGATTTGTAAAACATAAGTAATGTTGTTCGTGGTGTGGATCTTCAACGTTGATTTTGGGAGAGCAATGCGCCTGGCAACAGTCTGTTGTCTGTCCTCTCCCAGGAAGCAATACACTCTCCTTTTATGAACTTTTTTTGTTCAACTTCACTTTCAAAGCATTTCCAGTTTTCCTTCAGTACAGCGGCTGAGTGTGTGTATTTGTTGTTAAGTGTGTGTACATGTTATTGTGTATGTGTACATGTTATTGTATACATGAATGGTATACAGTACCGACAAGATGAGTATTAGACACATTTGCAACATCTGGGTGTTTTTATTGTAGACGTTTCGCCATCCAATGACTTTATCAATACAAGTTCAATGACATAATTGGAAGTCAGAACTATATACGAAAGATGAGATAATCAGTCCCTCAGCCTTGGAGTTGGTGTGAAGAACACCGTAGTCGTGAAGATTCTGGAGCACAGACAAGAAGGCTGGCGCTTATATACTGGCGTCAGGTGGAAAGGGGACGGGTAACAGATGAGGGTATGAACTACTTCCACTGGGAAATCCCGCCTACCAGTGACTATGCCCTCATCTGCTACCCGTCCCTTTTCCACCTGTCGCTAGTATATAAGCACCAGCCTTCTTGCCTGTGCTCCAGAATCTTCACGACTACGGTGTTCTTCACACTAACTCCAAGGCTGAGGGACTGATTATCTCATCTTTCGTATATAGTTCTTCTGTCTTCCAGTTATGTCCTTGAACTTGTATTGATAAAGTCACTGGATGGCGAAACTGAACTTCTCCAGGCTGAGGGACTGACAGCCTCAAATCTACGACTTTAAGGGTGATGGACTGATTACATCGTCTTCACATCTCTACTGTTCCTGCCTACTTTCTGTATTCGACTGAAGAAGCCTACTGTGTAGGCGAAACGTTTCGGAATAAAGCTTCCTAACTGTTGCCTATGTGTGTGTACATGACTCACGAAATCGTAATGTTAACGGCTTTGAGGGGACTTCAGCTAGAGTTCGTCACGGCCACGCTAGCTGGAGATTCGTCTGTAAAAACTTGCATTTGTGGTCACAATGGTGCCTATGCTAACCTTCCTATGGTGTAGAAATATACCTAGTTGGATGAATCTTATTGTGGCTAGCTGGTCCAGTGGCTAACGCGACGGTCTGGAGTTTCGAGACTCTCTGATCGCGGGTTCTATCCCCGCCCGTGGTATGGTTTGTGTGTGTGTACATGTTTTGAGTGTGTGTGTGTATGTTACTGAGTGTGTTTACATGTTACTGTGTGTGTGTAGATGATATTTAGTGTATGTACATGTTGCTGAGTGTGTGTACATGTTGCTGAGTGTGTGTACGTGTTACTGTGTGCGTGTAGATCCTCGCCTCTCCCAATACACTGTCAAGTTGTGCAAGACAGGTATACAATACCGACAAGATGAAAGTTAAGACACATGTGCAACATCTGGTTATCTTTATTGTAGACGTTTCGCCATCCAGTGGCTTTATCAATACAGATTCTTGGACATAATTAGAAAACAGAAGAACTATATACAAAAGATGAGGTAATCAGTCCCTCAGCCTTGGAGGTGGTGTTTACAACACCGTGGTTGTAGAGACTCTGAAGCACAGGCAAGGAGACTGGCGCTCACATAGGCGTCAGTAAAGACATCTACATGACCTTCTTCGCGACTTCTACAACTAACCCATCAATTTGGGAAGGACCTATTTCCACTGGGGAATCCCGCCTACCAGTGACTATGCCCTCGTCTGCTACACGTCCCTCTTCACTGACGCCTATATGAGCGCCAGTCTCCTTACCTGTGCTTCAGAGTCTCTAGAACCACGGTGTTGTAAACACCACCTCCAAGGCTGAGGGACTGATTACCTCATCTTTTGTATATAGTTCTTCTGTTTTCTAATTATGTCCAAGAATCTGTATTGATAAAGCCACTGGATGGCGAAACGTCTACAATAAAGATAACCAGATGTTGCACAAGTGTCTTAACTTTCACACTGTCAAGTGTTCTAATATTGAGAGCATACCTCACTGACCTTGGCCGTCAAGTGTCCCACTGCTCTGACCTAACCTGTGACCCTCACCTGTTTTTAACGCTTCTCTTAACTATCTTTCGGCTAAACTTTGCACATTATTTATTTTTTTTGTAGTCCTGTGGATTGTATCAGCCATGAAGTTGTGACTTTACTTTGTAGATTTAAGATGGTTATAGATATATTTGTGGTATTTGTAAGGAAAGTTAAACTCCCGAGTAGCGTCATTGAAGCTAAAATGTTGTGTATCTTTAAAAATAGGTTTGAGAAATACACGAGTGGGTGTGGGTTGGACCTGAGTAATTTGGGCCAGTAGGCCTGCTGCATTGCTTTCTGATGTTCTTATGTAAATTCATGTGAAGAGTATTGGGGTTGACCTCTCTCTTTGAGGTCATCACTGTGTATTAGCACACATAAAGGAATATCAGGAAAAGTGGGTAGATGGATCTATAACTTCCCAACAAACAGAACACAAATAGCAATAGTAAACAGAGTAGAGTCAGAGGCGGCTACAATGAAAAGCTCTGTTCCACAAGGCACCGTACTCGCCCCCATCCTTTTCCTCATCCTCATATCTGACATAGAGATGAAAGCCACAGCACTGTGTCCTCCTTTGCTGACGATACCAGAATTTGCATGACAGTTTCATCCATCTACGATACTGCAAATCTCCAAGCGGACTTAAACCAAGTCTTTAAATGGGCCTCAGAAAACAATATGAAGTTCAATGAAGATAAATTTCAATTACTCTGCTATGGAAAACTCGAGAAATATAAGCTGGATCGGAGTATAAAACAAGTAATAATCATATAATAAAGGAAAAAAATAATGTGAAGGACCTGGGAGTGATAATGTCAGAGAATCTCACTTTCAAAGATCACAACAGTGCCTCTACCACATCTGGTAGGAGAATGATGGGATGGATAATGAGAACCTTCAAAACTAGGGATACCAAGCCAATGATTCTTCAGATCATTGTTCTCTCTAGGCTGGAATATTGCTGTACACTAACGACCTCTTTCAAGGCAGGCGAAATTGCAGACCTGGAGAATGTACAGAGAACTTTCACTGTGCATATAAATACAATAAAGCACCTAAATTACTGGAAACAGTTGAAGTCCCTTGACCTGTTCTCCTTGGAACGCAGGCGAGAAAGATACATGATAATATACACTTAGAAAATCCTAGAGGGACTAGCCCCAAATCTGCACGCGGAAATCACTCCCTACGAAAGCAAGAGACTCAACAGTGGTGCAACATCCCCCAGTGAAAAGCAGGGGCGCCATGAGTACGTTAAGAGAGCACAATAAGTGTCAGGAGCTCAAGATTGTTCAACAGCCTCCCAGCATACATAAGGGGGATTACAAATAGACCCCTGGCTGTCTTCAAGAGGGAGGTGGACAGGCACCTAGTGAACACCTGACTAGCCGGGTTGTGGTTTGCATATCAGTTTGCGTGCGGCCAGCAGTAACAGCCTGGTTGATCAGGCCCTGATCCACCGCGACGCCTGGTCATGGACCGGGCCGCGGGGGCGTTGACCCCCGAACACCCTCCAAGTATACTCCAGGTATAAGTATACTTAATTTCACACGGAAACAAGGTCTGGTAGAGGTCACTGAGTCCTCTGGTTCCATCCCAAGTAACTACACACTTGCGATTACAGCAGTGTGAAATTTAATTTAATTAATATATATTTAATGGCATTTTTAATGTTATTGTGTTGCTAGGTGTAGGTGAGGACTGATTGTACTTTTATGTTAGTGTTGCTAGGTGTAGGTGAGAACTAATGTTTGTATATTAATGTTATTGTTGTGTTGCTACGTGTAGGTGAGGACTAATGTTTGTATAATAATGTTCTTGTGTTGCTAGGTGTAGGTGAAAACTAATGTTTGTGTGTTCCACAGAGGGTGTGATGGTGTGTAATGCGGGTGAGGGGCGGTGGACGGCTGGGGCTCGCCCTGCTCTCCCTCACCACCCTCACACTACTGCTGCTTCAACATTGTCGTCTCTCCCACCACTTGCACGGTCAGTATTTCCTCCCTCCCTCGTCCGCTGCTCTGCCAGGCAGGCTTCTGTCTACGTCAAAGTGACCTTGGGAAATGAACCCAACGGCTTCAACAGAGGAGCAAAAAGTTGTAAAGGGTTGTGTGGGACGTGTGTATTTGGACCTTCCCTCACAACAAGAACCACAATGGAAATAAGCCACTTTGGCTTTTTTGGGTTATCCCAGGTTCTCTACACATATGCTGCTATGTATGATAATCTATGTAACTGTATTTGTGTATACTTGAATAAACTTATTTACTTAGGGTAGAAACATTGGACGTGTTTCTTTACACCATTTGTCTATGTTCACCCATCAGTAAAATAGGTACCTGGGTGTTAGTCGACTGGTGTGGGTCGCATCCTGGGACAAAACTGACCTAATTTGCGGGAAATGCTCAGCATAACAATCTGCTTTCTGTATAGTAGTATGTCATTGATGTCAGCTATGGTCTGTATACCTTGTACATGTACTGGTAGTAAAGGAAGATATTATTATTATTATTATTACCACTGAAAAAATGTAGTCTGAGACACCTCGCTAGTAAGTTTATTTAGGCCCAGATACACATAAGTACTATTATCATGTTGTACATGTATGGTAAACAGTACCGACAAGATGAAGAATTAGACACGTGTAACATCTGGATATTTTTATTGTAGACGTTTCGCCATCCAGTGGTTTTATCAATACAATTTCAAGGACATAATTGGAAGACAGTAGAACTATATACAAAAGATGAATGAGGTAATCAGTCCTTCAATCTTGGGGTTGGTGAAGACCACTGTAGTCTTGAAGACTGAAGTACAGGCATGCCTGTGCTTCAAGACTCCAGTGGTCTTCACCAACCCCAAGATTGAGGGACTGATTACCTCATTCATCTTTTGTATATAGTTCTACTGTCTTCCAATTATGTCCTTGAAATTGTATTGATAAAACCACTGGATGGCGAAACGTCTACAATAAAAATATCCGGAAGTTGCACATGTGTCTAATTCTTCACAGTTATCATATGTAGTGTAAATTGCCCATTAGGATAACCCAAAAAGTGACTTATTTTTTTATTAGTGCTACCCGAGTGACTATTATTGTGCAGCTCACCACTCAAGTGGTTTTACCTTATTGGATATAACTCTGCCTTTAAAATATTAGTTATTTCATATATTACAGTCTTATCATATAGTTGTCGACTTTTATTGTAAAATATATTCACACAGTTGAATTTATTAGTTCTTTTAACTTTTAAAGCTTAAATAACAATGATCCCAATGGAAATAAGTCACTTCGACTTTTTGGGTTATCATGGTAATTTACACTATGTACTTACGTCTGACTGTACCTAAATAAACTTAAGTAATCAGATACAGTCTCAAGATTTCTTATCTCTTGTCACTACCACGAAAACATTGGTTCATTCCTTACATTACTTAGTTACAGCAAAAATGTTTCATATATGTAATTCTAACCTATGCCTACGTGTTTCTTATTTTTGAGGGGGGGGGGTTATGAATGTTGTCGTCCGTACCTGAGTGTTGCTTGCTGGTGGTTATCGTCAGTACCTATCTTGTGTTGCTTGCTGGTGGTGTATATGGAGCTGACCATTACTCCAGCCACCACCAGTTCACCTTCACACCTGGATCAGCTACGCTGTTCGTGCTTGACCTCATGTACTCTGCATAATAGCTTGACCGATCACGAATTTTCTGAAGAGTGACGTCATGAGAAAAGAAACACAAGGGCAGTATAGTGTAATTATTGACTACGTTTCGCCCACACAGTGGGCTTTATCAAACAGATTTACCTGGGTAAAGAGTACACGAGACGAACGTACAGGTCCCGTGAAGGTCCGTCTCTACTACAACCTTCCCGACATTCTCCACTGACTCCACACTATATATACCCGTGTACTTTTTACCCATGTACTTCTATTTGTGACTTGTTAAAGTCCACTGTGTGGGCGAAACGTTGTCAATAAAGGATTGCATTAAACTACAATTGTTTATGTTTCCACCGTGTCAGTATTTATACCATTTATCTCCAGGGGAACATCATGTTAGCTCTTGAAAAATGTGGATTTAGTAAGTCTCCTTATATTTGAAGGGCGTTGAAAAGTCTTGGCCCCTTTGCACTTAATGAGTTAATTCAGTGTACTTGTTGCGTACTTGCTTTTCAAGGATTGTATTTTACACCGCCTGTCATGACTTGCTCTACTCAGGCGTTAATTCAGGGTGCAGATATGGTACCGCTTCCTCCAGCATTTTCCAAGTGTAGACTATGATATATTTTTCCATCGTGTGTTCCAAGATTGGAGTCCGAGGGAAGATGGGCGCTTTTAATAGAGAGGGTGGGAGTGGGTAGCGAAGGTTCTGTGTACAGTGTTACAATGTGTGACGCCACCAGCTTAAACGAGGCTGCTACTCTCTCTCTCTCTCTCTCTCTCTCTCTCTCTCTTTCTTATCATCTTGCAGCAGTGACTGTTTTATTGTTCTCTTTGAAAGTCAAATGTGCCATGGTTGCTCTCAGGCCTCTTAAATCTCCCAGTGTTGCACCAGAGTTTGCTTGCAGTGTGCATCATTGCACACTGTGTTTACCCAGGTTCTCCTCAACACTAGCAACAGCTCACATATGCAAAACTATATACATTTGCTATTGTTCCCCCCCCCCCTTATCCTTAACATTATATTTTAAATTTTGCAATTTTGTTCTGAAAAAAAAATCGTATTTAATATAAAAGTTAATAATGCAATAGATTATTTGTTTTATTTTACGTTGTAAATAACCTTTTATTTCGAGTCATAATAAAGCAGTGGTAAGAATGTAGCAATACGGAAGCTTTATTACTACGACGTTTCACCCACACGAGGCTTTATTATGAGGGTTACTGAAGCCTCGTGTGGGTGTAACGTTCCCCTAATAAAGGTCTTTGATATATTTAGCTTTACCACAAGTAATAAAATAGCCCAGTATCAAGTGACCACAGCAACACAACTCCAGCAACTTCGTGAAACAGGCTTTTGCTATCATTAAACCCGTACTCATTGTTATTTATGAAATTACTTCTGTGATCGTGCTCTCCTTAAGATAAGATAAGATAAGATTTCGTTCGGATTTTTAACCCCGGAGGGTTAGCCACCCAGGATAACCCAAGAAAGTCAGTGCGTCATCGAGGACTGTCTAACTTATTTCCATTGGGGTCCTTAATCTTGTCCCCCAGGATGCGACCCACACCAGTCGACTAACACCCAGGTACCTATTTGCTGCTAGGTGAACAGGACAACAGGTGTAAGGAAACGTGTCGAAATGTTTCCACCCGCCGGGAATCGAACCCGGGCCCTCCATGTGTGAAGCGGGAGCTTTAGCCACCAGGCCACCGGGCCACCGGGCCACCCTTCTGATTAGTCTTTCCATTACCTTAATTAATATACGTGTCAGTAATAATACTGGCCTGTAGTTCAATTCTTCCTGCTTATCTTCTGTCTTAAGTATTGGGACTACATTCGGTGTCTTCCAGATCTCTGGCAATTGTCTTGTATACATTGACTTATTGTAAGTTTTAACTCGCAGTTTGTACAGTGCTTCTGCACCCTCTCGCAGAATCCATGGTCAGGTTCCGCTGCCTTGAATGTATGCAGTTCACTGTATGTGTGTATATATGTATGTATACAGATGTATGTATTTATGTAAGTTATAGAGAAATGGCTGTTACTGCCAGCGGGCCGCTGACAGTAACAGCCTGGTTGATCAGGCAAGCGCCAAACAAGCCTGACCCAGGGCCGGACTGCAAGAATAGGGAAAACTCGAAAAACCTTCAAAGGTAGAGCGAAGGTAAAAGTAACGTTTCGCTCACACAGTGGGTCTTACCTAGTCACAAACAGATCTGTTTGTAGCTTGATAAAGACGTCTGTGTGGGGCAAAACGTTGTGCTTAAAGGATCACATTATACTGCATTCGTGTCTTTATTCAGGTATATAACACGTAAGTCGTAGTCTTCACCTCAGATGAACGATTAGTAGTCGACGAAGCTTGAGAGGTGGACCAGGAGCCAAGACTCAACCCCCAGCACACAAATTCACAGAGTCAGAAGGCGATCTATAGAACCGTTATTTTAAAATACACACAGATGACAATCAAGTATTGTTGTCCTTCAACAGCACCGTCTTAGGGGTTGCTGTAAGTGCTGAATCAGACGGGGTCGTCATGGCTATGTGGGCCTGCAGACAGCTAGAGTAAACAGCCTGGTTGACCAACCGGTTAACCAGGAAAGCCTGGCCTCAGGCCATGCTGTGGTGAGGTATAGGAACCCTCGAAATTGGGCACAGGTATATCACAGACGCGCGGTGTATACTTAGATATAACACGGCGGTAGTAATATAGTTTCGAGAAAAGATTATTTTATTCCTTCGCTTCTAGAAACATTCAAGAAAGTATCTTGTTGTTTCACTGGTAGGTGATGACTTCACCTTGTTAATATGTGGGTGTAATGGAGCTTCATCCAAGTGTTGTCTGCGAAACTTTTCGTTTTAGGAGTTATGTGAAAGTTGAAGGAAGATGGGTTGTGGGTGGGGGCTATGAGTGTGGGGTGTGTTGTGGGTGTGGGTAGAGGTGGATGTCAGGCATGTGGGGTGTGTGTGTAGGGTGGGAGTGGGGTGCGAGTGTGGGTGGGTGTGAGAGGCGTGTGTAAGGTGGGAGTGGGGTGTGAGTGTCGGTGGGTGTGTGTAAGGTGGGTTTGGGGTGCGAGTGTGGGTAGGTGTGAGAGGTGTGTGTAGGGTGGGAGTGGGATGTGAGTGTGGGTGGATGTGCGGGGGTGTAGTTAGGGTGTGAGTGTAGGTGGGTGTAAGTGTGGGAGTGGTGTGTGTAGGGTGGGTATGGGGTGGGTGTTAGTGTTGACGGGTGTACAGTTCAGCATTACCTCTCAAATTAACTTTAAAAACCACAACATGTCATACATCGCTGCACATTACCTCCAGCCACCACGGTTTGA